AGAGAGAGAGAGAGAGAGAGGAACTGGCACAGGAAGTAAGGATTAAACCCTCCTTCCTCAGGTACAACTTCCCAGATCTTCAAAGTGGCCACAGAAAACTGCTAAACTAATGAGTTTTTAAAAACCCCTTATATGCTTTTTAACTCTTTGTTAATAAATACATGTACCTTTTCATACTATATAAATTAAGTTTTTATTGTTGGCTCTCTATTCTGTTTGAGTTACTCTTTTAGGTTCTGGATCCCAGGTTTTAGGGTTTAGCCCCCCCCCTTTTGTCCCCTCCACACAGACACCATCGGGCTTTTTGCCAGCTTAAAAAAAAAATAACACCAGTGGTTGCTATATCACTGTAGTGTTATAATGATTTAGAGACAAAGTAACCACTGGTTTTTTTAAAAAAGCCCTCTGATGGCATGGTAGTGCTTAAAGTATTGGACTTTTTGTTGTGGTTCAGTCGCACAGTCAAGTCCGACCCTTCGCGACCCCATGGACCAGATCACGCCAGGCCCTCCTGTCTTCTGCCGTCCTCTGAAGTTTGCTCAATGTCATGTTCGTTGCATCTATGACACTGTCTAACCATCTCATCCTTTGCCATCCCCGTCTTCTTTGACCTTCAATCTTTCCCAGCATCAGGGTCTTCTCCAGTGAGTGCTCCCTTCTCATTTGGTGGCCAAAGTATTTGAGCTTCAGTTTCATTATCTGGCCTTCCAGGGAACAGTCAGGGTTGATTTCTTTTAGGATTGACTGATTTGATCTTCTTGCAGTCCAAGGGACTCTCAAGAGTCTTCTCCAGCATCATAGTTCAAAAGAATCTATTCTTTGGCGCTCGGCTTGAATCCCTACTTTGCCAGGGAAGCTCACAGGGTGATATTGGGCCAGTTACTCAGCCTAACCTACCGCACAGGATTATTATGAGGATAAAACAGAGGAAGAGAAGAAGAAGCAGAAGAGATTGGATTTATACCCTGCCCTCCACTCAGAGTCTCAGAGTGGCTTACAAACTCCTTTCCCTTCCCTCCCCACAACAGACACCCTGTGGGGCTGAGAGAGCTCTTTCAAGAACTGCCCTTTCAAGGACAGCTGTGCCAGAACCATGGCTTGCCCAAGGTCATCTAGCAGCTGCAAGTGGAGGGAATCAAACCCGGTTCTCCCAGATTAGAATCCGCACACTTAACCACTACACCAAACAGGAAAATTATGTATGTTGCTTTAGGTCCCCACTGGGGAGAAAAGCAGAGTATAAATAGCCTAAGAAATAAATGAAACTAGAGAAGGAATTGGAAGTTGTGAGGGACGATGGGTAGTAAAATGTGTACACTTTCCCATCCAACAGCTGCATATGGATTTGGGCTGTCATCTTCCTAGAAAGATCAGAGCAAAGCAGGGAAAAACAAGGAGAGTAGATGACCAGAGGACATTATTATGTGAATCCTCAAACACACACACACACACACACACACACACACACACACACACACACACAAACTCAGCACTTCACTTTGGAAGCCAAGGTGGGGCAAACCAGCCATGTGGATGCAGCCTTTTTATCTTCTATCTGTAATGTTCTTGCAAGTATTTAGGATCTTTTTCATTACTGCTGAGCCCCCATAATGATTTCTCTTAATTTCTACAAAATGTATGAGTTTTACTTCCCTGGGTTCCCATAGAGAAAGTGGGGCCAGAGAGGAGAATATTTGCAGAAAGATTTAGCCATTGATTCCTGATCAAATCTACAACCCAGTTGTGACTTGAATTTGTAGTTCCTGGTGCTTTTAACAAATGCACATATAAATTCTTATACAATAAACATAAAACTATTATCAAATAGATGAAATGATCCAACTGATCTATACGAACATTAATATATCAAATAAATTGTTTACTAGCCAGAACTCCCAGCATGCCCGGGGTGGTTGCGTCCAGGGCTCTAGTCGGGGGGGAGCTCTCAGGTACGGAGCTCCGGAAGAGAACCTCTAGGGGGCGGGGCGGTCACGTGGTGAAGCCCCGCCCCCTTCTTTACCCCGCCCTCTGCTTCGATCCTCATTCCGTTTGGGAATGAGGATGAAGCAGGAGGGTAAGTAGCCGGGCCTTCTGACACACTTCCAGTGATGTAAGGGGGTGTGGCCTTCTGTCACTTCCGGTTATGTCAGGGGGCGTGGCATATGCAAATAAGTTATGCTAATGAATTATGCTAATGAGCTCCGGCAGCTCTTTTTCTACAACAAGACCCCTGATGTAGTCTAGTTCTGGTGTCCAGCACTGTAATACTTATTTTACAGAATCCTATGGTCTTTCTACACATAATCCAAATCTTTTCTTATAATACAAAAACATCCTTTAACTTCCTGGTTAGAACAACATGAAAATATTAGAGAATCTATGGTTTAGAAATGGATTTAGCTTACAGACCAAGAATTCTTAAACAGAAAGAAAAATATCAACCCAACTAAAGTTTGTAAACCAGTACTAGCAGCTACTGAACCATCATTTCCAGCATGACATACTGTTTGAGGAAATACTGGGTGTGCTTGTCATCATCAGATGATCAACTTATTTTACACTGAGGGATTCTGTGTTTGTGGGAAATTTAATATAGAAAACATAAATCTATGAGAAGATTGTGGGTTTTCCGATTTTGGATGCTAAATTTAGGGAATATGTTTTTTTTAAAAAATGAACTTTCACCCAAATTAGTGGGCGAGGAGAAAAGTATCACTGAATATTAATCCCCAAACAGCATAGATACTAAGGTAATGCATTTCCCCCATAAAAATTTCCCTCCATTTGACAGTTTTTTTTCTTACTTGATCATAACGGAAATGTGTTGTGTGGAGAGCCAAACCCAGAAGCTAAACTCTAAATAAAATACCCAGAATTACTATCTAATTAGATGTGAGTTTTCTTAGATAACATCAGTCTACCAAATCATATTATTTATTTACAACACATTAAACCTATATCCAACCCTCTCCATGTGGGAATGAAGATACTGTTGAGCTCACACATACATGTTCCTCATTCAGTGAAATAACATGCAGGTCAAATATTATAGGCAGTGTTTTAGTATCTCTTCCTATTCCTTCAAGTCAGTACTTTCTATGGAGGTAGCTCACATGGTATATGGCAAGTTACCAAAGTTGAGATGGGGGGGGGATGAGAGTTTCCAGCCTTCAGGTGGGGCCTGGAATTACAACTGATCTCCTGATGACAGAGATCAGTTCCCAGGAGAAAATCACTGTTTGGGAGAGTGGCTCAGCCCCGTAGCTAGGGAATTCTTTGGGAGGGGGCCCTGGGGGGGCCCGCCAGCTAATTAAATGGAAGTACAGTGCAGGTGGTAAATTGGAGCACTTTGGGGGCAGCCCTGGAGGGAGGGGGCCCAGAAGAAACACAAGGGGGCCGGGCCCCGTGGGCCCCATGTTAGCTACGGGCCTGGTGGCAATCCCTTGCTACCCCAAACCCCACCCTCCCCAGGCACCTCCACCTCCCTAAACCCCAGCAATTTCCCAACCCAGAGCTGACAACCCTACCGAAGACTGACTAGTGGTGACTTTTAGGGCTAGATGTTCTCTGAATCCAAGACTCACTAGTCTTAGTCTGCCACTCTAACCACAACACTACCATTGTCCGATATTTAGCTAACAGCCTTTTGTCTGTGCATACTCAGTTCTAAAAAGTACTAATTATAATCCCGCACAGAAACATATCCATATATGTCCATTTTTTCTGTGGGAAAAGGCATTTCACAGGCTTAACTTTCCATTGTAAAACATATAGTCTCTCCATTGCCTAGGATTCAGGTGATTTACAAGTTGCTACAGAGCTGCGGTGGCTCAAGTGGTTAAGATGCTGAACTGCAGGCTGTGGAAGGTCGGTAGTTCAGCAGTTCAAGACCCGAGTGTGCCGCATGACGGAGTGAGCTCCCATCTCTAGTTCCAGCTCCTGCCAGCCTAGCAGTTCGAAAGCAAGAAATTGCAAGTAGATAAATAGGTACCACTTCAGTGGGAAGGTAACAGCGTTCCGTGCGCCTTGGTGTTTACTCATGCCGGCCACATGACCACGGAAATGTCTTCGGACAGCGCTGGCTCTTCGGCTTTGAAACTGAGATGAGCACTGCAACCCTAGAGTTGGACTCGACTGGCTTTTGAGCAAGAGAACCTTTACCTTTACAGATTGATAAATCTCAACACCTTTGCAAAGTTTGGCCTTTATACAGCAGGGACAAGTGCATATCAGAGTCAAAGTCAGTATTTGCATTAACCAAAAGGAATTGAACTTTGGGTTGCCAACTCCAGTCTGGGAAATTCCTGGAAGTTTGGGGGGGGGGTTGCCTGTGAAGGGAAGAATTTGGAAAATAATTTCACCTAGAATCTATGGAATACCATAGAGTTTGCCCTCTGAAGCTTCCATTTTCTCCAGGGGAACTGATCTGAAGATAAATTATAATCCCAGGAGAACTCTAAGCCCCTCCTGTAGGTTGGCAAGCCTAAAATACATCAAGTAATTAAATATCAATGAAATGACAGTACCATTACATCATCAATTGGTCTCCAGCCCAAGGAAGAACTGCTTCTGTCACCCATCTCTCCTAAGCAGCTGTGTCAAACAACTGTAAGTTATAGACACATCTGCATCTACAAGGAGGTTGCACATTTTCTGGCTCAGTAAAATTCTGAAGGCGTATGTAAATACATGCAACATATAAATAGCCACGGATTCAGCCTAGAAAGGAAAAAGGAAAATCAAGCAGAAACAGTGGCATTTGCACTAATGGCATATCATATGTGAAATACAGAAAGCTGCCATATACTGAACTAGACCATTGGTCCAGTCTTTTTGCCTGGCTTTCTGGGCCTTTCCCAACACTTGCTGCCTGGGATCCTTTCACTGGAGATGCCAGTGGCTGAACCTGGGACCTTCAGCAGGCATGGCGTAGCTCTGTCCTTAGCCCATAAAAAGTAGCGACTGTCCATTTAAAAGACTGATTAGTTGCAACATGAAGTCTCTCTCAAAAAGAATGATGAGCATTCTTTGAAAAGAAGGGAAGCAAAAACATATATGTTGAATATCTTAATTTCTTTGAGGGTGGAAAACCCTCAGTATTTTGAATACTTTAATTTCTTTGAGGGGGGAAAACCTCAACCAACCTTCGCATCTTCAAAAAAAAAAAAAGTGATTGCTTTCTCCCCTGTCCTTACATTCAGTATTCATTACTGAAAACAGAGCCAAGTACACAGACCAAAAAAGTCTGAGACCAAAAACAAAATGAAATAAAAACAAAACCCAGACAGAAATAGGATACTTACATTTTATGCTCTGCTGCCTGATGTTAGGAGTTATGCTTTCTGAGGCAAATTTAACACAAGCCCTGGGTTGACTAACTATATAATGAACCTAGGGATGGGGAGTGGCTTCTTGTTCCCTCCAGCAATCAAATACTCAAGGAAGTGGTACACGTGACAGAGGGCACACCTCTATGCATACCTACTCATGAGAAAGTCCATCTTGGAGGCTTACTAATTGATAAGTATTTCAAAAGTCCCAAAAAAATCTTCCAAGATATTTGCTGCTTTTAATGCTTAAAAACAATGGAACACGAGAGGTGAAGAACATTCTGTTACAGAGGGGGCAAAAATATTCTTTAATTGTACAATTTATTGGCAGTTCCATTGCTTCCATACTGGAAGTATTCAAGCTCAGTTCAAAATTGTAGATGTATTAGCATTTATTGCTCAACATGGAAAATTTGCCAAAAGGAAACAGTACGTGCCAGGGCCATGGTTTCCCATAGCCTGTTGCTTATACTTCTTTTACAATGTAAAATGCTTTTCATGTTTCGTATTTTTACCTCAAGGCAAAAGAAGTTAAGGAAAAGGAAGAAAGGAACATTGTTCCAGAACCCGGAGGTGAAGTAACTCCATGATGTTGCATCTTTTCTTGGTATGCCCTGCTTCTTGTACTGGGCGTGGCTTTAGTTTGTACACCCCTCAAATGCCATATCAGCGTATGTTACATTACTTTATATATACATCCATTTCATGACTAATGGATAACTCACAACACAGTTTACAACACCTGCTGAAACTAGCCCTGTAGTTTCCATGGAAGTTCCAGCAACCAGATATTATCTTAGCTGTAATAGTATTTAACTAATGTGTGCAAAACAGAGGCTGTATACTCCTGCCTCGTTTAATCAGTTCTACTGTTATTATTAAAATACAGGCATTAGAAGAAAAACTGGGTACACCTTACCATCAGCCATAATATTTTACGAGCCCCTAAGCATAATGAAACTAGAAAGAAAACCATGGTGTACAGAAAAACAAGTTAGATTTAGGTGGGTAGCCATGTTGGTCTGAAGCAACAGAACAACATTTGAGTCCAGTGGCACCTTTAAGATCAACAAAGTTTTATTCAAGGTATAAGCTTTCATGTGCATGCACACTTCTGCAAGATACATTGAAATGGAAGTTACCGCTCCATACATATGGGTAGAGGGTGAGCGGCAAATTAGCATACAACATAATGGATGCAAGAACCAAACAGGAATAACAAGCTTAGTTTATATGGTCACCATGTGTTTGGATTTAATTCTGGGGGAATTCCCCACCATAATCTCCAGTTTTGTTATATTTATTTGCTTTACTACGTTTCCCCCCTCCTGGAACTGAACTTGAATTTTATTCTATAAAAAACGTTGCAAAGCTTATCAAATCCCCCTCCCCCCCAACAAATGTCTAAATGTGAGGCCTCCTTAGCTCTGGCCCAAGAAATTTCTTGAAATTTGGGGATGGTGCCTGAGAAGGGTGTAGACTGGGGAGAAGAGGAAGCTCAGTGGGGATGTGATGCCATTAGGCTTGCCAAGTCCCCCCGGGTGGTGGGGAAACCCCCGCCCCAGAGGCCCGTTCCCCGCCGTCGCCGGATCGGGCCCCGGGGGGAACTCCACCCCGACGTGCACGTCACCAGGAAGTGACGCGACCACGCCGGGCACGCTGGGGGCGGGGCCACGGTCATCCGAGGGAAAACCCCCAGCGTGCCCAGTGTCGTCACGTCACTTCCTGGTGACATGGATGCGGCACATGCACGCGCGTTCCAGGATTGACCCAAGAGTCCCCCTTGGCAACCCTAGATGCCATAAAGTCTACTTTCCAGAGCTAACGCTTCCTGCAAGGGAACTGATCTCCGTATTCCGGAGATCAGCTGTAACTCCAGGAGAACTCCAGGTCTAGTCCGAAGTTGGAAACCCTAGGTCAAGGCCAAATAGCCCTCCTGGCCTTTCTTCTCACTGGCTATGAGTCTGAGGGTATGGTTGGGAAACAAGTAATTCAGCAACCTTGCTGAAGCTAATCAGGTCTCAGTCTGGTTTGACTGCCTGGATGGATTGACTGCCTCATGTGTGCTATCTTGAGGTGAAAGGTGGGATATAAATGTACTGATACATTCCTTGTTTGCTTTATTGAAGTATAATATGCCAAAAGAAATTCAAATGTAACTGTACCGAGTCTACATCAAGATAATCCAACCCCCCCCCCCACTACAGATACTTTTAATGAAATAATCAGCAAAAGAAACAAACAAGCCCCTCCCCGGAACTTTAGCAGATAAGTGACAGGGCCTTAGAGCCAGCAAAGCGTAGTGGTTAGAATGTCAGAGCAGGATCTGGGAGACCCAGGTTTGAACCCCCCGCCTGCCATGGAAGGTTGCTGGGTGACCTGGTTGCTGGGCCAGCCACACACCCTCAGCCTATCCTTCTTCACGGGGTTGTTGTGAGGATACATGGAAGAGAGGAGAATGATGTAAGCCACTTTGGGTCTCCATTGGGAAGAAAGGTAGGGCATAAATGATGCGAATGAACAAAAATAGTCCAATAATAGCAAAAATAGATCTCAGGAGACAGAAACAAATTGATCAAAGCTACACAAAACTCAATCGAATAATTAAAAAACAAACAAACTGGTGTTTTTAATGCCAGCAGTGAAGATTCCAGGTTGACCTCTTAAAGTGTTCCAGAGATGAGGCATCCACTATGGAAAAGTCCCTCACCTGGATTACCATCCACTTAAGCTCCATTGGCAAGGTACTCAGAGAAGGAACTCTAAAGAAAGTACCATCGGCAAGGTACCCAGAGAAGGAACTCTTAGCTAGTGGATGCATCATGCGGGAGGAGATGATCTTTCAGATATCATCTTGGGCCCAGACTATTTACAGCTGATTCCTCTTGATGACTACAAAGAAGGCAAATGCCATGAGCAGTTGCTCTAGGTGTTATTCAGGAAGGCAAACCAAAGTCTGTATGACTCACACATTCTCTATGTATATGGAGTACATTTCCCCTTTTGCCATCCAGTAAACTCATGTTGCTTTCTGTAAATACACATAATTGAAACAATAACATGGGCAGGGACTATCTGTATGGGGCTCCCCCCACCACTAGGTAATATGACCATTTGACTTCCATTAATTCTTGGCCTACTGTATCTTCTAAAATAAATCTCCAGGATTATTAATATTATGGCTATCATGTCTGTTCAATTTGCTCTCTCAGAATTAGCTTCTAACCATAGAGTTTTTGCCCCAAAACCAGACCATCACCCACAACATGCCTACATCACTTCCTGGTCACATCGGCACATCACTGAAATGCTGGGCATTTCTCCTTTGAGGGGAGGGTAATTCCCCCCTGCCAGTCAGCTGGCCAGTGGTAAGAGAGATGAGGTCTGGCAGCAGGAGACCCCCACCTCCACTGGGGAGTTCTGACTTCCCTAGGTGTCACCCATCCTGGATAGGATTTTACTTCCCTTAAAGAAACAGGTCCATAATCTGGAGGCACTCTTGGACCCAGGCTTACTGCTGGATAAGCAGGTGGCAGCTGTGGCTAGGAGAGCCTTTTACCACCAACTGGTTAGCCAGCAGCAGCCTTTCCTGGGCAGAAATCATCTGGCCACTCTGGTGCATGCCCAGGTTACATCTAGATTAGTTTACTGCAATGTACTCTGTGTGGGGCTGCCATTGAAAATAGTTTAGAACAGAGGTGTCAAACTCATTTGTTACGAGGGCCGGATCTGACATAAATGGCACTTTGTTGGGCCGAACCATGTGTGCCATAAAACGTAATGGCAGGTACAGGAGATACAAACTGTAAGGCCAGCAGCTGGTAAGCTCCAAGTTGGTGTATCCTCACTGCAAGCCCTCATGCATTAGGAAGGAGGTACAAAGGAAAACCCGCATGGGTGGACTGGACAGCCAGCGGTGCAGCACTGGGCAGACGCTCCTACGCTGTCTGACTGCTGCAGACAAAGTTGTTCCACCGTGCTGAAGCCACAGCCGGGGTGGCTCCGCCCACTCCCCCTGAACAGTCTTCTATTCCCTCCCTTACACTAGATGCTTGCAGGCCGCATAAAAGACCTGGATGGGCTGGATCCAGTCCCTGGGCCTTATGTTTGACACCCCTGATTTAGACGCTTCAGTTGGTTAAGAATGCTGCAGCCAGGATGTTAACTGGAGTGAGACATAAGGACCATATCACTCCAGTCTTGGCCTGTCTACACTGGTCCCAATCTGTCTCTGGGCACAATTCAAATAGCTAATGTTGACCTTTAAAGCCCTACATAGTTTGGCATCAGCATACCTGAAGAACTGCCTGCTCCCTTATGAACCTACCCAGCCACTACAGTCATCTTCTGAGGTCCTGCTTTGGGTTCTCCTGCCTTTTGAAAGGTTCTTCTCAGTCATGGTACCAAAACTCTGGAACTCTGTTTGGAAAAGCTCTGGAACTCTGGAAGAAGACTCATTCGTCCCCTTCTTTTGCCATCTACTGCTAGGAATGCCAGCTTTCAGGTCAGTATAAGGTAAAGGTTCCCTTGCTCAAAAGCCAGTCGAATCCGACTCTAGGGTTGCGGTGCTCATCTCCGTTTCAAAGCCGAAGAGCCAGTGCTGTCCGAAGACATTTCCATGGTCATGTGACCGGCATGACTAAACACCAAGGCGCACGGAACGATGTTACCTTCCCACCGAAGTGGTCCCTATTTATCTACTTGCAATTTCTTGCTTTCGAACTGCTAGGTTGACAGGAGCTGGAACTAGAGACGGGAGCTCACCCCGTCATGCGGCAACTCAGGTCTCGAACTGCTGAACTACTGACCTTCCACAGCCTGCAGTTTAGCGTCTTAACCACTTGAGCCACCGCAGCTCCCAGGTCAGTATATAGTACCCTCAAACTTAAAGGCAGCTCCTCCTCGTCTTGGTAACCTCTTTCTCTGGAGAAATGAGTCATTACATTAGTACAACACCCCTACTTTTCACTGGCTCAGGGTAACAGAATGCTAACCAAAATAATATGCCTGCTGTCTC